GTGCCCAGCCCCTTTTTCTTGATTTCATCTTGAAGCTCTTAGGATTTTGAAAACTTTTTGTTCAATAACTATTCAGAGATTCTTTTTCGTTTTCGAGTTATTTGCTAAAGAAATATTTAGGGGCCAACCCGTCAACTCCCTAATGGGGACTTTTAGCGAAAAATGAAAGGTGGCATATTGTTCAGAACATGATTTCAAACATCTTTTGTTCAATATTAGTTGTCAAAATATTTCTCACTTTCGAGATATAAAGCGTCAAAGATTTAGCATTCTGGCCCCTTTTGGCCCCTTATCATGTATTATACGACATTAAAATCATAATATATAGTTGTAAAATGTTGAGATAAACATTTTTGCTTCAGTAATGTATAACAAAATATTGACTGTTAAAGAGTTATCGAAAAAAGACTTTAAGCCCCTTTTGGCCCTTAATGTGATGAGTCAGCACTTTCTTCTTGATATCATGTTAAAGATCTTGTCATTCTGCACAAATTTTGTTCAGTATGTTTTAACAAAATAATTATACTTTAAAAGATATGATGCAAAATGTCTTTAAAAACTAGTCATGATTCGTGTCCTAAATTTTGACCCCTACCGAGCTTACATACTAGACACTTCCGGAAAATATCCTGACCCAGGTGCAACATGGCAACATGTCCTCTATTATCACTGAAAATTTCAGTGCTCTAGCTTAAGCCGTTATTGAGTTCTATCACAGACACGGAGGTCATCTAAATTTTAAGAAAAGGGCGATAACTCTAGACCGGAAGTGATTTTCAAAAAATCCTTCAGCCGGAATTAACTTCAGATAATTTTGCACCAACCCTGAAAATTTGAGACAAATCGATCCAAAGGTCTCTGAGGAATCGTCGGCATAAAATTTGTGCAGAAAAAAAGAATAATAATAATAATAATAACTAGATACGATCTCGTTGCGAGCAACGAGTGGGTCTTCCGTCCAATTCTTGAAAAGATGAGATGAGATTTTGATTGAGATTTTCATTCTAAATTAATGATAAAGATTGTGAAGAAGAACTGTTTGCCTCCATAATCTGTAAAAAGACATTGAACATTAAGGACTTAAAAATTCGACTTTTGGCCCCTCGCAGCCCCTAATATTAGGGATCAGCCTTTTTTCTGCATATCATCTTAAAGCTCTCAGGATTTTCATCAATTTTTGTTCAACAACTTTTCAGAGATTCTTTTTCGTAATCGAGTTATTTGCAAAAGAAATATTTAAGGGCCAACCCTTCAACTCCCTAATGGTGACGTTTAGCGAAAAATGAAAGATTGCATATTGTTTAAAACATTCTTTTGAACATCTTTTGTTCAATAATACTTATCAAAATATTTCTCTCTTTCGAGATATAAAGCGTCAAAGACTTAGCATTCTGGCCCCGTGTGGCCCCTAATTATGTGTAATATGACCTAAAAATCATAATATATAGTTGTAAATGGTTGAGATACACATCTTTACTTCCGTAATGTATTACAAAATATTAACTGATAAAGAGTTATCGATTAAAGACTTTTGGTCCCTTTTGGCCCCTAATTTGAGTTCACAGCCCCTTTTTCTTGATTTCACCTTAAACCTCTTATGATTTTGAACACTTTTTGTTCAACAACTATTCAGAGATTCTTTTTCGTTTTCGAGTTATTTGCAAAAGAAATATTTAGGGGCCAACCCTTCAACTCCCTAATGGGGACGTTTAGAGAAAAATGAAAGGTTGCATATTGTTCAAAACATGATTTTGAACATCTTTTGTTCAATATTACTTATCAAAATATTTCTCTCTTTCGAGATATAAAGCGTCAAAGATCTTGCATTCTGGCCCCTGGTGGCCCCTAATTATGAACCATACGACATAAAAATCATAATATATAGTTGTAGATCGTCGAGATAAACATCTTTGCTTCAGTGATGTATTACAAAATATTAACAAATAAAGAGTTACCGATTGAAGACTTTTGGCCCCTCTTGGCCCCTAATTTGAGTGCCCAGCCCCTTTTTCTTGATTTCACCTTAAACCTCTTATGATTTTGAACACTTTTTGTTCAACAACTATTCACAGATTCTGTTTCGTTTTATAGTTATTTGCAAAAGAAATATTTAGGGGCCAACCCTTCAACTCCTTAAAGGGGACGATAAGCGAAAAATGAAAGGTTGCATATTGTTCAGAATATTATTTTAAACATCTTTTGTTCAATATTGCTTATCAAAATATTTCTCACTTTCGAGATATAAAACGTCAAAGACTTAGCATTCTGGCCCCTTATGGCCCCTAATTATGTACCATACGACATAAAAATCATAATATATAATTGTAGATTGTTGAGGTACACATTTTTGCTTCAGTAATATATTACAAAATATTAACTAATAAAGAGTTACCGATTGAAGACTTTTGGCCCCTCTTGGCCCCTAATTTGAGTGTCAAGCCCCTTTTTCTTGATTTCACCTTAAACCTCTTATGATTTTGAACACTTTTTGTTCAACAACTATTCAGAGATTCTTTTTCGTTTTCAAGTTATTTGCAAAAGAAATATTTAGGGGCCAACCCTTCAACTCCCTAATGGGGACGTTTAGAGAAAAATGAAAGGTTGCATATTGTTCAGAACATGATTTTGAACATCTTTTGTTCAATATTACTTATCAAAATATTTCTCTCTTTCGAGATATAAAGCGTCAAAGATTTAGCATTCTGGCCCCTTGTGGCCCCTAATTATGAACCATACGACCTAAAAATCATAATATATAGTTGTAAATGGTTGAGATAAACATCTTAACTTCAGTAATGTATTACAAAATATTAACTGATAAAGAGATACCGATTAAAGACTTTTGGCCCCTTTTGACCCCTAATTTGAGTTCACAGCCCGTTTTTCTTGATTTCGTCTTAAAGATCTTATAATTTTGAACACTTTTTGTTCAACAACTATTCAGAGATTCTTTTTCGTTTTCGAGTTATTTGCAAAAGAAATATTTAGGGGCCAACCCTTCAACTCCCTAATGGGGACGTTTAGAGAAAAATGAAAGGTTGCATATTGTTCAGAACATGATTTTGAACATCTTTTGTTCAATATTACTTATCAAAATATTTCTCTCTTTCAAGATTTAAAGCGTCAAAGATTTAGCATTCTGGCCCCTTGTGGCCCCTAATTATGAACCATACGACATAAAAATCATTATATATAGTTGTAGATCGTCGAGATAAACATCTTTGCTTCAGTAATGTATTACAAAATATTAACAAATAAAGAGTTACCGATTGAAGACTTTTGGCCCCTCTTGGCCCCTAATTTGAGTGCCCAGCCCCTTTTTCTTGATTTCACCTTAAACCTCTTATGATTTTGAACACTTTTTGTTCAACAACTATTCACAGATTCTGTTTCGTTTTATAGTTATTTGCAAAAGAAATATTTAGGGGCCAACCCTTCAACTCCTTAATGGGGACGATAAGCGAAAAATGAAAGGTTGCATATTGTTCAGAATATTATTTTAAACATCTTTTGTTCAATATTGCTTATCAAAATATTTCTCACTTTCGAGATATAAAACGTCAAAGACTTAGCATTCTGGCCCCTTATGGCCCCTAATTATGTACAATACGACATAAAAATCATAATATATAGTTGTAGATCGTCGAGATAAACATCTTTGCTTCAGTAATGTATTACAAAATATTAACAAATAAAGAGTTACCGATTGAAGACTTTTGGCCCCTCTTGGCCCCTAATTTGAGTGTCCAGCCCCTTTTTTTTGATTTCACCTTAAACCTCTTATGATTTTGAACACTTTTTGTTCAACAACTATTCACAGATTCTGCTTCGTTTTATAGTTATTTGCAAAAGAAATATTTAGGGGCCAACCCTTCAACTCCTTAATGGGGACGATAAGCGAAAAATGAAAGGTTGCATATTGTTCAGAATATCATTTTGAACATCTTTTGTTCAATATTGCTTATCAAAATATTTCTCACCTTCGAGATATAAAGAGTAAAAAATTTTGCATTCTGGCCCCTTGTGGCCCCTAATTATGAACCATACAACAACAAAATTATAATATGTAGTTGTAGATTGTTGAGGTAAACATTTTTGCTTCAGTAATGTATTACAAAATATTGACTGTTAAAGAGTTATCGAAAAAAGACTTTTGGCCCCTTTTGGCCCCTAATGTGATGAGTCAGCACTTTTTTCTTGATATCATATTAAAGATCTCGTCATTCTGCACGAATATCGCTCAGTATGTTTTAACAAAATATTTATGCTTTAAAAGATATGATATAAAATATCTCGAAAATTCACTCATAATTCGTGTCCTAGATTTCGACCCCTACCGAGCTTCCATACTGGGCACTTCCGGAAAATATCCTGACCCAGGTGCACAATGGCAACATGTCCTCTATCTATGGTAAAAATTTCAGCGCTCTAGCTTAAACCGTTTTTGAGTTCTGCTCCAGACAAGAAAGCCCTCTAAATTTCGATTAAAGGGCGATAACTTCCGACCGGAAGTGAATTTCAAAAAAATGAGAAAAACGAATCAGGTTTAGGTAAAGACACATCTTTCCTGAAAATTTCAAGTAAATCGATCGAGTCATCTCCGAGAAATCTTCTGCACAAAAATTGTAAGAAAAAAAGGGAAGAATAATAAAAGTGAAAAAGAAACAATAGAATAATAGAAGGGTCTTCCGCTGAAGACGGAAGACCCTAATAATAATAAGAAAATTGAAAAAGAAACATAAGAATAATAGAAGGGTCTTCCGCTGAAGACGGAAGACCCTAATAATAAGAATAGTGAAAAAGAAACATAAGAATAATAGAAGGGTCTTCCGCTGAAGACGGAAGACCCTAATAAAGGTAAAAAAGAAACCGAAGAATAATAGAAGGGTCTTCCGCTGAAGACGGAAGACCCTAATAATGTATTTTTAACGTTAAAATTTTACCGTATTCTGTATCCAAATGCAAAACAGACTATGCACAATTTCAAAAACATGTTTTTTTCGAATAATTATTTTTTTATGCATTAACTTTACTCAAAAACGAATTTTTGATTAAGCGGTCATTTTTAGCGGTCATTAAAAATTATGACCGGGTCATTATATCCCACGTGCAATGATTCCTAGGTCAGTATTGTGTAAACGGTACCATTTGGAGTCATTGTTGAGTTTTAAAGTTTTCTTACCAGCCAATCAAATTCGAGTATTATCAATAGAGGTATAATTATATCGTAACTTGCTGTTGATGTAAATTGCAATTGGCTACATTTTCCCTATCTACTCTGCTAACTTGAAAGATAAATAACTTGTGTTCTCAATAAAATTATAACTTGCATAATCATGATAATGAAACAATTTTGTTTTCAAAATAGAGCCATATAATGACAGCCTATACACACGAATAAATATAGATACATGTATATACAAAGATGTCTATTCCAAATATTTAATTTTCTTAACTTTTCCTCTCAACTCAGCAACAAACAAATTATTTTTATACACACATAAACCATACGGTATCCATAGATCACAGTTATCTATGTAACAGATAAACTGTCCGTCCTGGTCTAGGATGTGGATACAGTTGTTATTAAAGTCTGCTGTCAGGATCTGACTCTGGCTGTCTGTCGTGATGCCAAAGGGTTTAAATGGTTTGTTCTTTGTGGTAGAAGGATGGCCGGTGTATCTAAATCGGAGTTTTCCAGCCTGGTTGACCACCACTACAGCACCAGCTCCACAGTCAGCCACACAGATATCCAGGTTTCTGTTCTCACTGATGTATTTAATATAGCCATTTTCTGAATACAGAGGTTTATCCTCCTCATCAAACTGGATTGTTTGTTTCTTTGTGGAGCCTGAGTAACAGACAACTTTGGATTGTGTTTTATCATCACTGAACATGGTAACCAGGAGATCACCAGAGGAGGTGATACAGATATTACTAGGTGACCAGTCCCATAGACTGATCATCTCCTCTGTCTGTCCATTCTTTACTTTATTCACAGTCTTTCTTGTCCCATCAGAGTACACTAGACCTCCATCACCTGTCACTGCTATATCACATGGCCAATCACGTGATTTTATTTTATCTGTTTTTATTAGTATACCTTGAATATTGAAGCATTTCATATCACTGACTTCTCCACTTGTCCAGATTTCTTCTTCACTGAGACAGGTAACATTGCGGAGTTTTTCATACCCAGTATTTATAGTAGTGATAAGTTCTGGTTCTTCCAGTATTATCTGTTTGGTTGACATATCTGGTTTCTTCAGTTTGTAACAATTTTCTTCTCTTGTCGTGGATAAAGGTTCAAGAGATCCAAACAACTTATTATCAGTCTGTTCCCTCTCTACTGGTTTTGGATTAAAACCTGAAGTGAGACCTGAAATTTTGGAGGAAGTTTACTGAATTCTTTGTTTCTGGAGTTGTATTCTATGGTCATAGACACTTCTAGAAATAAAAAGAATATGTGATAATGAAATTCATCGACCATTTGATAAAATTATTTCTTTCGGTCTAAAGCTTACTGTAAACTTGGTCATAAAATGAAATATTATACATTTATTGCATGATAGTGAGGGAAATATGAAGACTTATTCAGCCAAGAAAATCATATTCCCCGAGGGCTTCGCCCGAGGGGAATATGATATTTCTTGGCTGAATAAGTCTTCATGTTTCCCGAACATTCATGCAATGAATTGTTTATTATACCGAAACAAGCAAAGCCTTTGAAATAAACATAAACTTTCAAATTCGGCACCGCTCTCAAATTCACTTTCATTCTTAACGTAAAGAACTTGTACTATAAAACCCTTTGTTCAACACATTGTCATCAGTTTTGTGACGTCAACCAGGCTATTGTGACGTCTACTACTCTCGGGAGTTTTCGTTCAACGAAAGAGAACTATATTGCGGGAAAATTCACTAGGTGTTCCGAAGAGGTGGAATATGATGAAAAGCGTGCCGACGACTTCAAATATGAAGTTTTACGGCCCGATCACGTGATAACCTAGAACCAATCAGATAACGCGTTGTGTAGAATATTTATAATGAGGTATAATAATATATTATATTTTAACGTTAACTTTCGATGACCGGGAGCCAGTCAAAGCACGTACCCCTAATAAAAGCGTCCCGGTCAAAGCTTCCCTTAATTTTAGTCAAAGCGTCCACTGAGTTTGGTCAAAGCGCCCCCTAAAATATTTTGATATGAAAATACTGCCCTCAAATATTGGTCAAAGCGTCCTCTGATTTTGGTCAAAGCGCCCCCTAAAATATTTTTATAGAAAAATACCGCCCCAAATATTGGTCAAAGCGTCCCCTGATGTTGGTTAAAGCTGAGAGATTGGGTTTGGATTTCCGATGACCTTGTCAGCTTCGTCGAGAAATATGCAAACCGAAAGTAAATTTGTGTAAAGATATTTTAATTCCCATCAAATAAAACTTACCTCACTCGTTAACAATCGGAATCAGATGTGGGGAGACATTTGTCTGTTCTCCTGTATTCATATTCTTTTAATATTATAGGCCTAACTTATGCATTCACGTCATTAATCGTCGGGTGGCGCTGCGGTAGGCCTATTATATTCAAAGTTTGTAACATGTCGCGCTCCGTGCCAACTGCCACAATGACATACTTTGAACTAATCTCTGTTAGAGATTAACTTGGCACTTTAAAGTTTTTTTTTTGTCAATTTTCTGACAATAGAGTTATCTTTCTTGTCACTTTAACATGCGTGCAGGCGTGGATCCAGGAATCTTTTCCAAGGGTGGGGGGTCCACCCTTGTCAAAACTCCCGAGAAATTTCTATTCAGGTAAAAAAAAGTTTAGCTTTCAATTTATTGTAGAATTGGCGAGGGAACGGTGTGGTGAGGTAATAGGCGCGCTCACTTCTATCTAACTTCGTTTATGTGATATTTTTTTTCTCATTTTACCAGAAGTCCATGCTTTTTTAGTGCGGGGGTTGGGGTTCCAAGGTCTTTTAGTCAAGAAGTGTCTCCCTCCCTCTCTCATCGTCAAATTCTCTTGCTTCATGTGTTTTAATTAGACCCAATAACTTCAATATATATTAATTTACACATATACATATATATTTCAGAGCCTCCTTATCTAATAATGATTTCAAATCATTTGATATTATACCATTCCATATAGTTTTAAATTAAGGTATGCAACTTCTAATTAAAATTAAATGGGTTCAGAGTGCATTTTTTTTCATTGAATATAGTTCAATGTATATTATAAAAATAACATTTTTAATATATTGGACATAAATAAACCAGAAAAAAATTTCAGTTTTAAATTTTTTTTTAATTAATTAAACAATTAACATTAGGTAAAAACTTATTCAAAATCAAAGTATTCTTTTCATTGAATTTCCAAAAAATGAAGATACATAGAATAGTTATTGCTCTTAGCACAACTTATATAAAGATTAATTAATTGAATAAAAAAAAAAACTCTTTTTTTTTACTATAAGCAACGTCTTTCAATTCGTTATAATTGTGCTACTGTAGATTATTGACAATGGAAAGTGAAAATTAAAGTCTTGACTAATCATACATTTGTCATTTCATACTTAAATGTAGATGGGTAAAGTAAGGGGAGATAAATAAAAATATATCGTAATCCCCGCTAATTATATGCCCTTGTTATAAAAGTGTTTCATGTCCGTATTCCTTCCTTTCGAAACACTTTGCGCTTAGATCATAATCAAAGAAATTACATGTATCAACTTGAAGATAATTGAATTAAACTTCACTTCCTTATAAATGTACGTATTGACAAGAGCTATACAAATGTGTCAACAATTTTTACTTTTTCTTTAACATTGATCTTACGTTTTTTAAAATTTGTTTTTAGCAAAGAAGCTTTGCAAGATATTTTTTATCTAACTTTATAATTATATTTATTCATTTTGATGGAACAACTAGGCTTCATCAATATTCATTGACTTTGATCTTTCTTTTGACCTTCACTCAACTTTTCACACATTTCTCTTTTACTAGCTTTTAAAATGCTATTCGTAATATTCTCATCAAACTTTAAAAGCTGATACATTTTGATGAGAGCTAATCAATTTCATGATCATCTTTTGATCTTAATTTTTTTTTTTCTCTGAGCTTGTCTTTTACTTTCTAAAAAAAAATATTATTTAAATTTTATTAACAGCGACACCAACAGTTTTAAACTTGAATTATCCTTCAAATTATGTTTAAATAATTTTCAAAGTGTATTGTACAGGTAAAACTTTTGAAGTAAATCCATGTCCAAGTTTCAATAAGCCCCATCTGGACCAAACATTCATAGATAATGCAATCCGACAGATGGTCCTCTCTAACCTGCTTTGGATGTTATGTCTCATGCACATTTTCTGGCAGAGTAAATATTAGTCATACTTTTACCAATGAATTTAAACAGTATACCATTTCTAGATTTGCTTTGGCATTTGATCTACATTTTCTTTATTACTGTCAGAGGTAATATTTTGGACCAGCTCTATGATTATCCTGGCATGTTATGGTTATGTTTCATAGGATTGCGTGTGTGGTGAGGTAATAGGCGCGCTCACTTCTATCTAACTTCGTTTGTATGATTTTTTTTCTCATTTTACCAGAAGTCCATGCTTTTTTAGTGCGGGAGTTTGGGTTCCAAGGTCTTTTAGTCAAGAAGTGTCCCCCTCCCTCTCTCACTGTCAAATTCTCTTGTTCCAAGTGTTTTAATTAGACCCAATAGCTTCAATATATATTAATGTACACATATACATATATATTTCAGAGCCTCCTTATCTAATAATGATTTCAATTCATTTGATATTATACCATTCCATCTAGTTTTAAATTAAGGTATGCAACTTCTAATTAAAATTTTATGGGTTCAGAGTGCATTTGTTTTCATTGAATATAGTTCAATGTATATTATAAAAATAACATTTTTAATATATTGGACATAAATAAACCAGAAAAAATCAGTTTAAAAATGTATTTTTTAATTAATTAAACAATTAACATTAGGTAAAAACTTATTCAAATTCATAATATTCTTTTCATTGAATTTCCAAAAAATGAAGATACATAGATATAGTTATTGCTTTTAGCAGAACTTATATAAAGATTAATTAATTGAATAAAAAAATACTCTTTTTTTTTTACTATAAGCAACGTCTTTCAATTCGTGATAATTGTGCTACTGTAGATTATTGACAATGGAAAGTGAAAATTATAATTAAAGTCTTGACGCGACTAATCATACATTTGTCAGTTCATACTTAAATGTAGATGGGTAAAGTAAGGGGAGATAAATAAAAATATATCGTAATCCCCGCTAATTATATTTCCTTGTTATAAAAGTGCTTCATGTCCGTATTCCATCCTTTCGAAACACTTTGCGCTTAGATCATAATCAAAGAAATTACATGTATCAACTTGAAGATAATTGAATTAAACGTATAATCTCCACTTATTATTTGACAGACTATACCTCAAATAATACAACAACTATGCTGTAAGCCAGGCTAGCTTAGTGGGAGCAGCTGGCGTTTATTTTGAAAAAAACAATACATAAATATTGAACATACATTACATTGTATGTGAAACAATAAAGCACTGCAATCTATTTGTAAATTATATTACATGAAATAAATTATACCCCTATCACCGACATTAAAAGCCGCCCAGGCAAAAACCATAGACGGTTAACTATGGAAAACCTGTGTCCGTCGCTATGTAAATAATGTCTCAAGGGAGAATGTCGGACGTACATTCAATGCAGTACTTGAAAAATGCCTGAACATCTTATAATGTTTGCATGTATGAAAAAATCGAAATTAAAATTCACTCCAACAAAATTGTTTCTTCTATTACCGATATATTTATACAAACATGACAAATATTATATATATATATATATATACAGCCTACTCCGGATATATTGAAATTCAGGGGACCATGCAAATTATTTCAATATATCCGTAATTCAATATAAGCGAAATCGTGAAGCCGCCATTTTTTCAAGTTCAATCCCGATTTAAAATAAAGAAGAACAAACCCGAACAAATTAATTTTGTCATCGTTTATCTATAACAGTGAACAGATTACATAGAATATGAGTCCTTGAAAGTTTAAATAATTTTTTTATTTCTGTTTCATTGAAAAGACAATCTTCAACCTCATTTTTATTCCCCGATCGCATTTAATAACGTTTTGGAGAAAATTTACCGGACATAAACGGTTGAGTACTGCTAAACGCAGCTTTAGTTCATCGTAAGTGTACTCGGGTCAATCCCTTAGTTATTTCGAATTTAGACATATCAATTGCCATTTACAGTAAGCATTCAATTTCAAAATTATGTTTTTTTCCTAGATCTGTTTGGGTCACTATATAACGTTTAGCTGTTTAGTCTCGATATGTCCGTATTACCGGTATATACATAGACGCAAAGAATTTAACAATGAAGAATTTTATTTCGTATGAGCGTGCAGTATAAAAACACATAAGGCGAAAACTTCATTATTCACACCTTTGCATATTAACTGGTCAATCAGGCTTTTAAAATTACTGTCACCAACCATAACGACAGCCGCCAGGGAGTACTTCAATATAACCGTTATGAAAACAAATCATTATCACCCGTGGGGACCGATCAGTGGCTTCAATATAAGCGAATTTTCAATATATCCGATTTCAATATAACCGTTATTTTAATGCAAGGAATATGAGAGGCAAAAACTGGGGATTTATTTCTATTTCAAAATAAGCGGAATTTCAAAATAAGCGAGTTCAATATAAGTGGAGTAAGCTGTATATATATATATATATATATATATATATATATATATATATATATATAAATAACTAAAATTAAAAAACACGTGTGTGTGTTGAAGAGCACTGGCTTAGAATGATTCGAACACCTTACTGAATACTGCTTTCTCATTGGCCTTCCTTTGACCACGCCTACTATACAGGCAAAAACCAATAAAATACGTTCCTATCATACAATGTTTTCCCGCTATACTACGAAACGCGGGAAAACACTATTCACTTCCTTATAAATGTACGTATTGACAAGAGCTATACAAATGTGTCAACAATTTTTACTTTTCCTTTAACATTGATCTTACGTTTTTTTAAATTTGTTTTTAGCAAAGAAGCTTTGCAAGATATTTTTATCTAACTTTATAATTGTATTTATTCATTTTGATGGAACAACTAGGCTTCATCAATATTCATTGACTTTGATCTTTCTTTTGACCTTCACTCAACTTTTCACACATTTCTCTTTTACTAGCTTTCAAAATGCTATTCGCAATATTCTCATCAAACTTTAAAAGCTGATACATTTTGATGAGAGCTAATCAATTTCATGATCATCTTTTGATCTTAATTTTTTTTCTCTGAGCTTGTCTTTTACTTTCTAAAAAAAATTATTATTTAATTTTTATTAACAGCGACACCAACAGTTTTAAACCTGAATTTTCCTTCAAATTATGTTTAAATAATTTTCAAAGTGTATTGTACAGGTAAAACTTTTGAAGTAAATCCATGTCCAAGTTTCAATAAGCCCCATCTGGACCAAACATTCATAGATAATGCAATCCGACAGATGGTCCTCTCTAACCTGCTTTGGATGTTATGTCTCATGCACATTTTCTGGC